GACATCGTTTCGGGTTTTGGTTAATATCATTACTGTGACACAGATGGCGTTAACGCTGTTCTGCTACCAAACTGTCGTTTGCCTTGCAAGAATCGTGGCTTCCTAGAAAGCACACAGTCAACCGAGTTGTGTTACCACATCTGATAAGATGTAGATTATAGTCTTTTTTTTACTTTTTCTAACCACATGTTAATGAATCAGAGCTCTGTATTTTTCTTTTCGTGAGAAATCCTCATTCCTCTTGTTCTTTGGGGACGTACGAAGTTGCGGAGTGTCGTATATTTTGGCATTCACTCATTTTACATTCTAAAAATTCTTTCGAACCTCCATTATTTTATGCGGGTTATAAATGTTTGGTTATGTACAGATTTAATTCCTCGCCTGGCCGGTTATCATCATTAAAGGTCTCGTTCCATCGGAATATTTTTTTTTCCATTTTCCATCAATGCCTTGAACGAATATTACATTATTAAATTTTAATTGTCTCCCCAGACCTTGCATCTTTGCACGAAATGGAGGTGGTGATAAGTTAATTTAACTCTATCCATTATCTGCACAGTTATCGTAATTTTTTTGGGGGGGGGGGGGGTGGGGTTATTTATTATCGACAAAGGCGCGTGTGGTTGAGTTTGCCACTGGCTGTGAGACAAACTTCCGAACACGTGCTCGAGAAGAACTGTTCGCCATGGAAACGCCATCCCCCGAGAGCGAGCCACTGAATGTCGTCTCTCTTCTAGGCGGTGCAGCTGGTGATCTGCTTTCAAGTCGGTTTGGTTTTTGGTGCTTCTGACTTGACGAAAGCCTGCGTTAGAACCGACAGTGCGTCCTTTGTCTGTCCCGAGTTGCATGAACACAAAGATCCCGATTTTGCTGGACTTCGAAACATAAATTTAAAACATGTAAGACAAAGTCAGAGAGAGAGAGAGGTTTGCTTAATTTCTTTTCACTGCCCCCCCCCCCAATTTTCTTTCATATTCCGAAGACAAAGACGACAATTATTCAGAATTTGTGCTTAGGTTTGCGCCAAGACGAAAACTGATATTTTGAAACGCGGTCCGTTACCCTAATTAATTCCGGGTGTGTTCCCCAAATACAACGCCGACGTTTCTTAGGTTCATCACAATAAGCGCCTCTGAAACGTCGGTTAATTTTCAAGAGGCTACACCAACCGAGTGCCACGGTGGTCTAGCGGTTAGAACGCTGGCCTTGTAATCTTGGGATCTCGGGTTCGAATTTATAACTTGTGTTGGGCAAGGCCGTGGTCTAGGCAACACGGAGTTTTCCTCCGTGGCATCCCAACAATTACTCCATTCACACACAGAAGAAGGCAATGGCAAACCCCTTCTGGATCATCTGCCAAGAACGTATATGAACAGGTCCCAGTCCGAGAAAAGGATGGAAGGATCCTGTTCATATGGACCTGTCGTCAGACAGAACACTAAATAATAATAATAATAAATAAATAAACACCAGCCCATGAGATCGTCATTTTCATATTCCCAGCCCTGAGAACTTGAAATCTCATATGGCGCTTGTTCTGTGTTGAAATATCGTTACAGGTTGGCCACACCGAAGCGTTTGGCAACCCCTGAACAGGGCGCAGGCCACAAATCTGTTAAAAATTAAACCGTTCGTACCTGTTTCGTAAATGTGTCAAGATCAACGAAACAGCAGCCATTTTATAAAAGGCGTGAACCCGCTATGTTGGATGGCGTAGAAATCTTGCAGTCATTGGCGTGGAAAACTGTGTATGCCGGTCAGTCATTGTTACAATTGGGTCTGCAGAGAGGAATGGACCCGCGATATCAGGGCGCAGTGTTTAAAAGAAAAACTGAAAGAACTTTCTCACATCCGTTCCACGTCCGGAGACAAATGAAAGGCGTTAACTCCTAGTATCTGGGACTTGCATGCTGTGGATAATGTTTTTGTGATTGATTGAATTCTGTAAGATGAATTCAATTGAATCAGCATTTTTAGAAACTCTTCTGATAATTCGAAAATGTTTCTGGTGAAACATAGTTTTTTTATTTGTTAGGTTCAAGTTCGTGGAACACGTTTGTAGAATGTAGACACTTTTACAGAGAATGGGGAATTTCAGATGTGCAGAACTGTGAACGAAGGACCCAGAATCTGATAACTTTCTCATTCACGATCTTGAAATACATTTTTGTACTGTTTTTAACAAGTGCCGTCGCTATTGTTAAAATCTGAAACATCATTACTATCTATGGTCTCCGCGTACGTATCAGATGATGATAAGGACCGAGACAGCTCTCGAAACGTCGGTTTCTACGGCCACGTGACCCGGCCCGGGAAGACTTCTTTGAATTTAATCACCGTGAAATGTGTAGATCGTAAGAGACAGTTGGTATTCCTGTTTCAAATTGCTATTTGAATTGTGTGTTGTCGTAACCATTGTTGTCGTGATAATGCTGTTATGGGATTTTGGGGCTTGTAGGATAATGTTTATGACTGTTTATTATTTTATTTAGTATTCTGTCTGACGACAGGTCCATATGAACAGGATCCTTCCATCCTTTTCTCGGACTGGGACCTGTTCATATACGTTCTTGGCAGATGATCCAGAAGTGGTTTGCCATTGCCTTCGTCTGTGTGTGAATGGAGTAATTGTTGGGAGGCCACGGAGGAAAACTCCGTGTTGCCGAGACCACGGCCTTGCACAACACAAGTTATAAATTCGGGCACAGCCGGGAATCGAACCCGAGACCCCAGGATTACAAGGCAGCGTTCTAACCGCTAGAACACCGTGGCCATTTTGTGTATTAACAGATAATAAAAAAATACGTAATATTTGTTACGGTGCAGCTTTTGTGGGATCTAAAACAAAAACATTTAGAGTCCAGGTTCCTTCACATTCTATAAGAAATAGACTTTTTGTTTATTACTCCCGGGTAATTCATTGCAAGTTGTTGATGTTCATTGTTAAAGTCTTCAATAATCATCTTCCTCCATTTCTTCTAAAAAACTCCGCGTAGTTTTAATGATAATGGTTTATGAAGTTACATTTATGTTTTAACTTTCACAGAGTTTATTTTCATAACCTTCAGAACTGAAGTGAGATGCAGCGTGGCTTCAACCTTGTTAACGGGCAATAACCCGAATATTCAAGTTTGATATTCCGATGGAGTCCATTTCTACAACATCGTAGCACGGCCAAGTTTGCTGTTGGCACAGGAACCCCAGTGACCGAGACCTTCCTTTCTCTTCAGACGATGAAAAAATGAAATGAAATGTAATGACGTCGCGTACCGACGATGTGTGATGCTAATTAACATGTTCATGATTTAGTTTTGCTAGGGAATGTCTTGTCGTCGTGTTTCGTAACGCTGAGTGTGGAAATAAAAGCCCGCATTGTTTAATGGCTTGCAAGTATCAACCATGCGCACAATAGGATGTCACTTGTTTGTATTACGTAACGAACACATTTATAATTCATGCAATAAAAACCCATCTCGCGACTTCGTTTAAGTAATTGATCTTAATTAGAGGTTATGTAGTGTCCGTGGTGATTCTGAACGATGAATTTGAAGGGATGTGGAAGGAATTGTTGCTGCATTATTTTAAGATGAGCCGTGTTGATATTTATCGACTCTTTTACAACTGCAGAGGTTTCATATTGTCGTGACCTGTCACATTTTTATAGATTTATTTTTATTTAACGTGAATATATTAAATACTCAAGACTAATGTTGTATGTGGTTTTGTATGGATACGAAACTTGGCCTCTTACGTTGAGGGTGTTCTTTCATCCTTTGTGCACTCATTGTTGCAGATTTAACTCTCATAGTGCAGAGAAGGTCGCTCGCTGACGCCAAGTCCTTGTACTTCCGGCCCGGGACATTAATTTCATCATTTCCGGTTCATGCCTTTGTCCTAAACAATCGTCTTGGTATACTTTTAACGGAAAATAACGAAACTTACGAACTAGGACGTCATTTCTCAACAGTCTTTACAGCGCCCTAGCTGAAAGTAATTCGAAAAGACGTGAATGACTTCGGGGAGTGTAGAACACGAAAGCGATCAGCGCTTGTAGTTCGCGTAGAGTTCCGGTGTGTAGGGACCAGCGCTGAAGTCGTCTTATCAGCTGATGAGAACGGGTTTGTTAACCCGTATGTGCTTACGTAACCCGTCAACAGTACTTTCGATTTTAAACGGGGTGTTATGTCGAATACACAAGGCTGTGGGAATCATGTTAACTGTAGATGGCTGTCTTGTAGCTTGTACCGCCGTGTAGTCTGGCAGAAGTTTACCGACGTTTCACAGGTCCTTGCTGCTGCCATCATTAGGGCGATGTTACCCCCCCCCCCCCGGAAAAACGATAAACTTTTAACTTATCATAAATGAGAGGCTGCATTGAGCCGTTAAAGACAAATTAAATTTGACTGACAACTTTTTCTGCAATACGTAATTTAATGGAAATCCGTTCCGTGTTTCGTTTCCATATGCACGCTGTGTGTGGGTGAGAGAGAAGAACACGGAGTAGGGTTTATTTTTAGACTGGAATTCGTAATGAAATGTTTCGTTGTATGGACCAGTGTTTGTTAGTCCGTGGGCCGGAGTCGACTGTTTAAAAAAGTGCACGCGGAGCGAACAAATGGCGTGAGAAGAGATTTAGAAGAGACCTTCGCCATCACAGCCCAGAGCAACGAAAGAGATGCAGTTCACAACCAACTTACTTACTATAAGTCGGTTTTAGCAGGACATCCTGCATCCTCTGATGCTGATAAGCCTTATCTTCAACGCACTTTTTTTTTCAAACAGCGATCTCCTTGTGCGCTGAAACCTAGTCTTGTGTTCTTGCCCTTGTATTTTCGCGGCTCGACTTCAGCTTTCGAGGGTAAGCCGCTACGACAAACATTACAGTTGCCATCTTCATCACCCTGAATATGGCAACTGTAATGTTTGTCGAAACGGATGCTTGTTAACATTCGCCAGTCTTTTGTTTTTATGCGTGTCCGATACAGTACGTGTTTTTGCAGGTGACCTGGAATGGGCTGTGGACGGGACCTGGGAGCTGCGCCACGTGGAAGTGACGGGTGGGAGTCTCGTGGTACACGGCGCCTCCACGGGACCGGAAATGCGGTTGCCCCTGCGGCACCTGAGTCTGCAACCCGCCAACCACCCTCGTTCCTTCAGCCTAGTCCGCGAACGCCAGTCGCTGGCCACGTTACAGGTAGGCAGACTGTGGCCTCCGGGGCTACGTGTTTCGACTTCATGATTCAGTCATTCTACAGGTTTCTGGTGTTCGTTTCGATCAACACTCAGGAACAGGGAAAGGTAATACTGTGTCGCCGCGTCTTTTTATGAACGTAGTTTCAGCACAAACTCCGCGTCTCTTCGTTCGGAAGCTAATTCTCCGCTTTTCATCGAAGTGACATGTTATTATTAATCGTGTTCACAGGACCTAGCCAGTGGACTTCGCCCTGAGCCAGTTTAATCCGGTCCACACCTTTAAATAGCGTCCCTCCGTCGACACGCAGGTCTCCCAAATGGTCTATTTCCTTTAGGTTTTCCGAACAAAAATTTTGCATTTCTCATCACTCCCGTACGTGGTACACCCCCCCCCCCAAATTCAGTTTCATCTTGGATTAATCGCCCTATTAATGTCTGGTGAACGAAACTACGTATAGTTTTTATGAAATCAAACACGTGGTTAGACGGGCGAAAGGCGAGACACGTGGGAAATCATAATGGAGCTCGTTCTAATTATTTTAAGATAAATAACACGATCTGACAGTGGTCTGCTGTTTACTGCGACGAGAAACAGACGGATCAAGGACGGTCAAAGTAAACAATTCTTCTGGGTCGCTGACCATCGCATCTTCCACTCAAAATATAATAAAATCCCTTGCTCCGGTACGTGTCAGGGCCTTGGTCTCCATGGGAACCTAACCTCTTGAAGTCGGTGACTCGCAAAAGACAGTTTCTGATGTAACTCATGCATCTTCGTTCGGTAATTTTTCTCCTGCCTGCTTCTTTCGTTGTTTATCCAACGACATTGCTCCAACTGCTCAAGTTATAGGAGGCCAAATGTTAATTCACAGGATAAGTGACTGTCATTTAAGAAGGAGGTGGGATATCTCGGCATCTGCTAGGAGGGGCTGAGTAAACTCACGGAAAACGCAAGTGTTTGTATCAGACTGGAAAAAGAACTACGTTTACACTGAGGCCGGCTGAGCGCTGGTGAGACACGAAGCCCCTAACGTAGGACTGAGTGTGTGATAACGAGGTCCTTGGTCAGGACTCTCTCACATCTCGAGGGTGGGCGTGGATGGGTATGGAGCCATGGTTACAAGAAATGAATGGTTTAAGAAAAGTTTTCTATTAGTTTCAACTGTTTTTATAGTTTTTGTTATGGCGCGTGTTGCTGGAGAAATTTAAGAGACTGCTGAGTTTGTAAAATGAGGATTTTCGTAAATGCAGCGGGATGGATTCTTAGTTAATTTATCGTGATTAATGCCTTTCATTATGCTGGATGATGTCAGCTCTTGACTGCATTACTCATTTGTTTCCTTTCCCACTTACATTTTATGACTGCCAAGGCCATCGAATTAAAATAACAGAACGAGTTGAGAACATTCTTCAAGAACATGACAACTCTTAGAAACACGTACTTTAACGTTCAGTAACTTTGCATTTTGCTCGTAGACTGTACGTGTGGGTTTTCTTATGATTCTCCGAGTTAATATAAATTATTTCCCTAAACTGCATCAACCACCTGGTCTTTGTATCGGAAATGTGAGTCGTGTTTTCTTTTTGGCACGGACTGAATGTTGAAATAGTTTATTTATTTAGTGTTCTGTCTGAGGACAGGTCCATATGAACAGGATCCTTCCATCCTTTTCTCGGACTGGGACCTGTTCATATACGTTCTTGGCAGATGATCCAGAAGTGGTTTGCCATTGCCTTCTTCTGTGTGTGAATGGAGTAATTGTTGGGATGCCACGGAGGAAAACTCCGTGTTGCCTAGACCACGGCCTTGCCCAACACAAGTTATAAATTCGGGCACCGCCGGGAATCGAACCCGCGACCCCCAGGATTACAAGGCCAGCGTTCTAACCGCTAGACCGCCGTGGCGGTTGTTGAAATAGTATCAAGGTGAAATTCATTCGCGTCTTTCGCTTCTCCCCAATTATTTTATCTTTGCTTCTGATCTTCTATTATCCTTCCTCTCTCTCTCTCTCACGTACTTCAAAGGATTAAGAAAAGCTTGGCGACTAATCAAGGAAATCCTGTTTTATCATTTTTATAATTATCAAAGTTTCTATAAATTGTCTCGAGACGAAAAGGTTTGAGAGTGTAAGGTTAAAGGTACAGCTGCTAACATTTTCGTGGTTATTAAATTTTAATCTTTACTACAGTTCTTGTGACCAGAAGCGGGGAGGAAAGAGATTTGATCGACGTTTCTGAGGATACATGATTCAGTGTTCATGGTGAAAGGTATAAAGTTTTTCTATGTCTAATCACCGTGACGTGATGACGTTTCGGGGAGTTGGTGTAAAGCTCCTCCCATTCTTAACCTCAGTAGTCAGTTTCATGCTTCAACAGTTTTACCCAGGGGAAAAGATGTCTTATGATAACTCATTTCTGTTTCCTTATTCTCAGGCTGGGTCTGATGTAGAGTATGGACGGTGGGTTAAGACGCTGGCCGTCGAACTGATGCGACAGACGCCGCTGGATGCAGTCAGGTTCCTGGACATTTTAGGAATCACCGCGACCATTGCTACGAGAGGGTTTGAAGATGAGACCGAAGGAGAAAGCACTCAGATGGGCTTCAGGAAAAACTATGAGCGGGGTCGCGCGAAGCGGAGGGTGTGCGTAAGTAACCGCGTTCCCGAGTGCGTGGAAAAGAGACACGCAAGAGCTCAAAGCAGTGACCCAGTGCGTAAGATGTCCGACAGTGACTCCGAACTCGAAGACGTGGATGAGAAGGAAATCATGGCACTTCTGCGGAGGTGTCAGCAGGTGGACAGCTACGTCCCGGTGCGCGAGAAGAGACGCCTATTTGAATCACTCTGCAGACAGGGACGACGCCTCGCGCAGAGCAGCGACAATCTGTGCAGCGCTGGTCGGATGACGGAGGTGAAACTGAGACGGAGGAAGAGGGCAAGGTCACTGCATGACCTCAGCAGGAGCAGCAGCGTGGCTGTGAAAGAGATCTGTCAGTACTTTGAGACGCGCGGACAGCTCGAACAAGACGACGTAAGATTACACAAGGAGATCGCGTGTTAGACGGAAACTGAACAATTAAAGTGAATTTTATGTGAAATTTGGTGGTGACGATCTGGAATGTGGGCTAACCAGATTATGATGTCACACAGTCTTATAGGTGTTTCTAGCGTTTAAGAGAAAACCACAATCCAAAGGAAATGTTGGTGCACCACGAAAGTCGTGTTGATAGTAACACAAATATGGCTGACACATTTGCATTTACGTGGTTTCCATTGGCTTTTCTGTGAGCAAATCAAAGAAAGTGGGATAAGCATGCATTTTGTCAGAAAACCTCAAGGGAGGAGACAATATAAAGACGTAAGCATTTATGGGATGATAATATTAAAATGAATCTTAAAGAATATGGTGTGAGGATATGAGGAAAAATGTAAAAATGAGATGTGTCTAGGTGCTGTGTGATTATTTCGTCAGAACTTTGTAATAAAATTGACTTTAATGTTTTACGTATCTTCATATTAACCCGGTCAGTGATGTTTATAAATGTGCACAAAATTACTATTTCTAAAGTGAAAGAATTGTTGCGTTTTCTTTTAAGTGAGAACCTAAAATTAATTATGTAATTTCTTGTATTTCTTTGGCGTGGGGGGGGGGGACAACCCCATAAACAAATATTGCAAGAGCAAATTGATTAAAGATGATGTTACAGGACGCCAGAATGCTCAGGATATCCCAGTGGGTCCAGTCTGTAGGCGTTGACATCGACAGATCTCCTAAGATGGACGAAACCGTAAGCCTGGAGAAATGGAAATGACCAGCAACATTAAGGCTTTGACCGGGATGTTCTTTTGTTAAATCTTATGTGGTACCGCCTGATTCGACTTCTAATGGTTAAGTGAAGTGTTTTCTTCGCGGTACGGTCTGGATTCGTAAATATTATGAAGACGAGCTTCGGCTTCAAAGGGTTAACCAGCTGATTTTCGTAATGGTGAGGTGTAGTGTTTTCTTCGCGGTACGGACTGAATTCATAAATAATATTCAGACGATCTTCGGCTTCAAAGGGTTAAACTGACGTATGATACTTAGTAAACAGAATGACAGTACGTCTAATATTGTTATTTCCTCATCCAGAACATATACTCGTGTAATAAATCCGATGTGAATTAGATCTGCAAAAAGTTGTTGGACGAATACACATTTTGTGATTACCTGCAGTGCCATTATTGAAATGAATGACATGACACTGATACTACTGATGGAACGAAGTAATTTTACCAGTATGGAGTTGGAGTCCAAAATCCCTCGATTCCAGGATAATTAAGAATGTAATTTAGGATATACAACGAATAATTTTCCACCAACAAGATTTGGGAGATTTTTGTATCTGCTCCCATACGGGCAATGTTGTTTTTCGATTCAGTAATAGAACTAGATAATTCCAAAATTAATATTTGTGCAAGAACTTCCGTTATATGCGATTACTGTGACGTATGCACATACCAGTCTTCACACTTGGAAATATTACAAGTCTTTGGCCATGTACACCCCTCTGGCTCCTAGTGTTACTTGTAACATTGGATTTATAGATAGTATAAAACAAAATGTCTCCGAAAAGTCACCGAAAGAAACACATTTTGGTATTACTTGCAGTATATTGCTACTGAGTACTGTCATAGTCCTGATACATTTGATGCAGCTGTGTAATTTCACCAGTGTGCATGAAAAAAGTGTCTATTGGGTATTGGTATGGAAGGTCGGAGGTAGCGGAAACAATCAACCGCTATCTCTTAGCGTTTAAATAGTACTATAAAATAGAAACGTGCATTTGCATGTTATCTGTCGGTAGTAGTTTGATGTACGAAGTAAGAGTCAATTTGAGTTCATGTGTGCACCATTTAATATTGATCCGCCATCACGTAGTAATTGTTCGAGAAGTGAATTCTCCTGCCATCTGTTGGCAATACTTGGATGTGCGTGTCCATGTGTGTGCGTTCGCCCACCATCTAGCGGTTATTTTATTTCTACAGTTTTGAGGAGTGATGGTGTTAGCCATCTGTTGGCTACAGCTGTATCCGCCATCTATTGACGTTTTGTAATTCTATAAGTTCGAGGAGTGCATTTCCCTACCATCTACTGGCTGTAATTGGAATTACCATATTGCATACAATGGAGTGCATTCGTGCTCCATCTATTAGCGATTTGTAGGTCTATATATTGAAAGGTGGAGTTCTGTTCCATTTGTTGGTCGCAGTTTGGAGTACGAAGCTGTAGGTAATTTTCTTCACGCATTCTCCATCTTTTAGCTATAAGTGGTTCTATAAATTCCAAAGTTCCATTTCCTTGCCTTCCGTTGACGGCAGGTTGGTAGGACTATATACTGTGGTAGGAAGTTTTAGTATTTTTATGTTGGTTTTATGTGTAGTTTAAGATGGTGGCTGTTTATAAATGTAGTGTAATTTATTAATTTGGAAACGTTTTATGTGTCTGATTCACTTTTTGTAGGGGACATGGATGAAGTTGAGAAACTCGAACATTTGTCATTGGTGTCCAAAATTTGTACTGAACTTGAAAATCATTTAGGATTAAATGACAAAGATTTAGGTATGTTATGGATATGTTTGTTATATTATTTGTAATGGGTCCAATGTTCCTTCAGTAATATTTATTGAAATTTATGGATGTATTTTGGCAGTAAAAATAAAGTGATATGTGTTCTATTGGTGTTCTCTGTTAGGCTGCACATCGAAGCATTTTAAATTAGATGTCCTTGGACATTCCAATTGTAAAGTGTTTCATAGTAATATGAAGTGAATAATTGTATTTTGTGATTCCTGTTCATATATCATCGTTATGTTCCTTTGTTTCATAATTACAGCTGAATTTATAATTGACCTTGCAGAGAAGAATGACACCTTAGATACCTTCAAAAAGGTTCTTACAGAAAATGGAGCTGAATTTTCAGTAAGTAAGGTTCAGACCTTTGTGCACCATGTAAACTGTTAATAAATGCCCCTTGTGTGCTGTGTTTTAGTTTCTCAAACATGGTAGGTGACATTTAATTTAATACATTCAGCTGTGTTAGGTGTAACAAAGAACTTGTTTAGGCCAGTGTATAATGCTTTTTAACATTGAAATTTTTTAGGTTTGCTACCAAAGAGAACTAAACAATCATGACTCTTTTGTGTTTCTGTCTGTCATACATTTGATCCCTTCCTTGCAGGATTCATTTATTGCAAACTTGCTACGTATCATTCAACACATGAAACCTAAGCATCAAAGAGAATCATCTCCTCAGCCACACAATGAGAAAGACAGGCTTGCAGAAAAGTTTCCTGGTCTGGCAATACCAAATGATCCAAAGTTTCAGTCACATGATGCTCAGAAAAAAAAGAAAGAGAAGAAGAAATCATCTGCAGAAGATGATATTGTAAATGTTGCAATGGCAGAACTAGAAGCTTTGGCACCATCACAGATCAGGTATGTGTTTTTTGTGTGATATGTCATAGTATCAGGGTGATCATAAATTTACGCTGAATATGCACTGTTTTGCTAGCTCATTATTGATAACATTTGTAGCTTTTATTCTTACACTTTTTACCATTGTGAAGTTATGTTGGTTTCTAGTGTGGTAGATAAAGTATTGTATGACCATAATATCTAAAGAAGTGAAAGTTTATTGTGGCTTCACGTATTTACCACGGAAAAGTAATCTGCATCAAATGTTGATTTGTGTTTTGTTTTTGTTTAATACAGTTCTTCTAAAGTAAAGCAGGAGCCATGTTCTTCCAGTTCAAGTGAATGTGAAAACTCTGTTCCTCATGATTCAGAGAACACGATGAGAAAAAGTCCTGTTAGAGAAAAGAGACGTCAAAGAAGCCACAGTCATGACAGGGAAGGCAATTCTGGGGTGAAAAGAGAGAAAAGAAGCCGCAGCCGAGAGAAACGGAGGAAAAGCAGGAGTAGGAGCCGAGATAAAGCAAGAGACAGGAGGAGGAGTAGGAGTAGAGATCATGATAGAGATGGCGAGAGAAGAAGCAGAAGTCGGGAAAGAAATAGAGACAGAAGTAGGAGGAATAGGAGCAGAAACAGAGAGAGGGACAGAAGTCAGGAGAGAAGGAACATAAGCAACAGTAAGAATAGGAGAGGAAGGCCAAGAGATCGTAGCTCAAGTCCCAGTGATGATAGAAGAAAGCACCGTTCAAGAAGTCGTGAAAGGGGTAAGAAGACTGGTGATGGAGCCGGAGAGCAGCTGGTGGCCACTGAACCAGAGATTGGGAAGGTGACTCATTTATATGAAGCTACTATTGTGTAAATATTGGCTACTGCGTGAATTAGATGCGGATCTAAACAAATATTTTTCTCTCATGAAATGCTCTTTTTTGACTAATCAGTTCTGTTTAATTATTACAGATATACGCAGGGAAGGTTGCAAATATTGTGCCCTTTGGCTGTTTTGTGCAGCTAGAAGGTCTTAGACGGCGCTGGGAGGGTTTAGTTCACATTTCGCAATTGCGACGAGAGGGACGTGTTACGAATGTTTCAGATGTTGTTGCTCGTGGACACAAAGTCAAGGTACTTTACTGTTTTTATTTTTAAGGTTGATAGCACTGATATTCTCTTTTGTTTGTAATAATGCAATTGGATCTGTGTATATGAACATTCTCTGTTTTCAGGTGACACCTGTATGTTTTATTAAATTGGTTTAATGGAATTGAAATTTATAAGTTATTTGTCAGAGCACTGTCATTTCTCTATCATAGTCCTTTAAAACCAAAATACATCTAAATAATGTATAAAAAATTCAGTCTGTACCTCAAAGACGGACCCACATTTTTCCGAAATGTTGGTAGCTACCTACACAGCACAGAAGAACATTGTCTTTTTCTGTTCCCTCAGCATTTCATGTCTTTTATGCCCCATTTTCATAAAGTTATTTGATGGACATTTGCAAGGGCATGGAAGGTTGCAACTGTTGTGTGACTGATTTTTAATTTTCTTAGGTGAAAGTTTTATCATTCACGGGTCAAAAGGTGTCTCTTTCAATGAAAGACGTAAACCAAGACACAGGCGAAGACTTAAATCCTACAAGCAACAACTTATTACTAGGAAAAGACAGGTTTGTAGTACCACATTTATATTGTATTTTAAATAAAATGTGTCGTCTGTCCTGATAGCCAGAACTGATGCTGGTTGACTGTTGCTATGCATTATCTTGATACACTCGTTACCACAACAGTGGTTTGATATATATTGTGTTGCTCAGATGGCAAGATTCATAGTCTGAACACAGAAAATTGCATTAAATTAGAACACAACCATCAAAAAGAAACGAACATTTCTTAATACAGGGATGAAGAACAGGCTCATCGCAATCCAGATCGACCAACGTCCCTGCTAGATCTACGGGGTTCATTGGCCGAGGAAGACGAGACCCACAGTCGCAAGCGTGTCCACCGTATCTCTTCTCCAGAAAAGTGGGAAATAAAACAGGTATGCTGTGGTAGTTTCTGAGAGTGCGCAATCGGACAGAGTCAGGCGCTCCTCCCATCACGTTGGTCTGACCCGTATATTATCGACTTAAATATAATTACATATTTTTTAAAAAATGAATATGTCTGGCTGATATACACAGATTTTGTGTTTGAGGTTTACTTTTCACGACATGAAAATTCACGAGTGCATGATTTATCGTTTTATGCAGATGCTTTCGGCAGCTTGTATCGACAAGTCAGAATTGCCAGACTTCGATGATGAAACTGGTTTGCTGCCAAAGGAAGAGGATGAGGAAGAAGATATAGAGATTGAAATGGTGGAGGATGAACCTCCATTTCTGCAAGGTCATGGTCGTATGTTACATGATCTTAGTCCAGTAAGAATTGTCAAAAACCCTGATGGCTCTTTGGCACAGGTAAGGACCACCATAACCACTATTTATTAAGATTTGTTCTAATGTTATCCTTCTCTCTGTGTGGGATTTTTACTCACAGGTTTTTTACTAGAATTTTGTATGTGTTTCGTATGTCCTACTTATCCCATGTGGGAGACGTGAGAACAGCAAATAAATATTTCGTGTGTTTAACTGTGTGTTAGGCAGCAATGATGCAGAATGCTTTGGCAAAGGAACGCAGAGAACTGAAGATGCTTCAGCGCGAACAAGAAATGGATTCTATTCCTACTGGACTCAATAAGAACTGGATTGATCCGTTACCTGAAGGTGGGAGTCTTTGAATTTTCTCGTGTTATATACACTTTTAAAGCCCTAAAGGCTTTCCCTGCATTTTAAATTTCACACTTGTGGTGATATTGGATAATATTTATCTGGCTGTCTGTTATTATATTTTGGAATTGCTTTGCAAAATTGTTTCGGAAAGTAAGCTGTGACAAATATAAACTTGAGTCCATTTTTTGGTTTTATATAATTTATTCAGGACACACAACTACCAGAAAACAACGTATAAGTATTTTATCGACTGGTGTGTTTTAATGTTCGTATTTAGCTGATGGCAGAACTTTGGCTGCTAATATGCGTGGCATTGGACTGACCAACCAGGATCTTCCAGAATGGAAAAAGCACGTTATTGGTGGAAAGAAAAGCTCGTTTGGTCGGAAAACAGACATGACACTTCTAGAACAGCGTCAAAGCTTACCTATATACAAACTGAAAGATGAGCTTACCAAGGTAAATACATCACCAGTACTGTAGAACATGCTTTTCAATGCCTTGAATTGTGTGGCTGAGAGATACTTTTCTTTATACGCTGTATTTCTTATTATCTAAGCTAATGCAGATTGTCCCGAACTCGGAGCACTTGCCATGTTACCTGACAGTCTTAGGATAGGGTTCTGGTTTTCTGTGCCAGAGTCTCAGATGGAAAACCAGCCACACCTAGTTGTACTAAGTTCCCATCGTGGTAGAAGGTTGTCTTTATCTCTTCGTTTGAATAATTTCTTCCTTCACCATTAGCTGTCAAGGCTGCTATAAAGAACATAGGTAGAAACACAATTGGATGGGTGAAAGAGAAAGGCAAATTTGGTTTACCGATTCTTCTATAAATGATAACACACTTTCGTAAGCCTTCAATAAATTCTGAAGGACAGTAATAATTGAATGGGAAGCAGTGTTATCTGCACGCAGGTAATCAAGAGTATACTGTATGATGATGGAAAGCTTGACTTGCAATTCATATTACTGAGAAGTGAATTGATTTTCCTGATATATCATGGTAATTCATGCCGCATATTTCTTCCAACAGGCTGTGACAGATAATCAGATCCTTATTGTAATTGGTGAAACAGGATCAGGAAAAACAACCCAAATCACGCAATATCTGGCAGAAGCAGGTTTCACAAGTCGTGGTAAGATTGGATGCACGCAGCCGAGAAGGGTTGCTGCAATGTCAGTAGCGAAACGTGTGGCTGAAGAATTTGGTTGTAGACTTGGACAGGAAGTCGGTTATACGATCCGTTTCGAAGATTGTACAAGTCCAGAAACTGTCATCAAGTATGTGTGTACCGCTATCGTACTTTGAGTTTAATATTAATGCTGAATGAGATGAAAGAAAATACATTTTAGCAGAATATGTATTTTTTTAAAAAATGTATTAGATTAATTAACTACTTACGTTTTGAAATCATGTGGGGGTTGCAGCTGTCCTCAGGAAATTAAGTACTGATGAAGGTTAGTAAGGCAAAGTTGTCCCTGTACTGCTGAGGTCTTGAAATGTTGGATTTCTTTCTTGCTACTATGTGAATTGCGTGCGATCTTGTTCCACTGGATATGTGTAGAAAGCACACCACATTTTTGTAGGTGGTGATACTGAGCAGTGGTGTGCATGTGTAGGTCTGGAATAGCAGTGAGTTATACCCTGTTCTGTTTCTATTGTGAACTTTCTTGGGGTGGATACAATTTTTTTTTAAAAAAACTTATGCTTTTTTTAAGGTACATGACAGATGGTATGTTACTGCGTGAATGCCTAGTAGACCTTGACTTGAAGTATTATTCAGTTATAATGTTGGATGAAGCTCATGAACGGACCATACATACAGACGTTCTATTTGGTAAGTGTTCATTACAGAATGTGACATTTATCACAGGCACATTCAATGTTTTTGTTCATTTACTGCCAAAGTTTCAGTCCTTGCTTCAAGACGCCATTGCTAAACAAGGATGAATGTAGTTTCATTGGGAAAACGCTGTTTTGGATAAATATTGATAACTGGTAATATTATTGGCATTACATGTTCATGCTATTGTATTAAATCTTATATTTTTTGCTACCATCACTGATTTATTTTGCGTTATTTTTAGGTCTCTTAAAACAAGCAGTGAGAAAGCGACCTGAACTTAAGCTCATTGTGACGTCAGCAACGTTAGATGCAGTAAAATTCTCGCAATATTTCTTTGAGGCTCCGATTTTTACAATCCCAGGACGTACATTCCCAGTTGAAGTTCTCTACACCAAGGAACCTGAGACAGATTATCTTGATGCATCACTTATTACAGTCATGCAGATTCATCTGCGAGAACCTCCAGGTATGTTAGCTCATGCTGACAGTGGCGGTGGAAACAGTACACGGTGTTAAACACATGTAGGCTGCGTTAAGTATAATAAATCTTACACTGAGCCGTTGTTCTTACCATACTTTTTTCACATGAACACTTTGTATGCAGGTGACATTCTGTTGTTTCTGACGGGTCAAGAGGAAATTGACACGGCATGTGAAATTCTGTATGAGCGGATGAAATCATTAGGACCAGATGTTCCTGAACTCATTATTCTGCCCGTGTATTCAGCTCTTCCCAGTGAAATGCAGACTCGAATTTTTGAGCCAGCTCCGCCAGGTTCACGGAAAGTATGTTTGTTTTGTTTCTTTATGTGAAATTTCTATTCCAGCAGATTGAAAAAAAATTTCAATTTTTTCTTTCTTTGAAAATCTCTGTTTATTTATCATGAAGGAACTTCAGATTAAAATTTAACATATGTATTTCCAAAATTGAGGTTTTATGTTTATTGGAGTACCTCAGTTTAGCTTGTCGCTCATAAGTTAAATGATATTGCGAAATATGGCTTTGACTTTGAATAGTTGCTTAAAGAATGATTTAAATGATGACATTAAGTGATTCCAGGTTTTTTTTAAACTCCCATGTAGTTTTCTTCTGTCCCGTGTTTTGTGTACAGTTATCATTCAGCACACAACTGAGGTATCACAGTTGTGTTGCCTTTGTGTGATGAGAGCAGATCTCTGATGTCCAGTATTTTATTTGTACATAGTTGTGAGTTCCACCAAAGTACAGTCGTAGATTTGAAAACTTAATGAGGTCATAGTGATGCTATAAAATTGCAAGACAAGAATTGTTGCCATAAAATGTATCCCCCTTCTTTCCTTTCGTAACGTGTGGAAATTTTAAAAATTATTTATTTTTCAGGTTGTGATTGCAACAAATATTGCAGAAACGTCTCTCACTATTGATGGCATATACTATGTGGTGGATCCAGGTTTCGTAAAGCAGAAAGTTTACAATTCAAAAACTGGCATGGATTCTCTTGTTGTTACGCCTATTTCACAGGTATAATCATTGAATATCTGTCATTGTAAACTAACATTGTTAGTAAAATTATATTCCCATTTGAAGGTTACATGTTTTTCAGATGTATTCATTTGTAATTTTGCATACTTCATTATACTCAACTAAGTGCCTTTTTCCTCACAGGCACAAGCAAAGCAGCGTGCAGGCCGTGCAGGACGAACGGGACCAGGCAAGTGCTACCGTCTTTACACGGAACGTGCTTACAGAGACGAGATGCTGCCCACACCAGTACCTGAAATTCAGCGTACCAATCTGGCCACCACTGTTCTTCAGCTTAAGACAATGGGCATTAATGATCTGCTCCATTTTGATTTTATGGATGCTCCACCTGTGGAGAGTCTTATCATGGCACTGGAACAACTGCATTCTCTGAGTGCCCTCGACAATGAAGGTCTTTTGACAAGGCTTGGACGGAGGGTACGTAAGAGATACATCTGAATAATGGATTATAAGATGCAGTACACATGTTAGTAGATTTGGAAGTATGAAATTATAATTTAAAATTTGCAGATGGCTGAGTTTCCGTTGGAGCCCAACTTATCCAAGATGCTCATCATGTCCGTACATCTCAATTGTTCAGATGAAGTCCTGACGATTGTTTCCATGCTGTCTGTACAAAATGTTTTTTACAGGTAATGAAGCCCAATAACATTAAAGTTAATTTCAATTTGTTTAATACATTATTTACATATTATTAATATTAATCGAGGACTTTTGAGAAAACAAATATATACTCTGTATTATTAATTTTATTTGCCGTGGTGTCAGTTTGCTCGTTGTTTTGGTGAAATTTTGTATTCTTCTGACACGTGTCAATTCTGAACATGCTACAGGCCAAAGGACAAACAAGCTCTAGCTGATCAGAAGAAGGCAAAGTTCAATCAACCAGAAGGGGATCATCTCACTTTACTTTCTGTGTACAATTCATGGAAGAACAACAAGTTTTCAAACGCGTGGTGCTACGAGAATTTTGTCCAGATACGGACGCTGAAACGTGCCCAGGATGTAAGAAAACAATTACTTGGAATTATGGACAGGTAAGCACAAGTATTTCTTTCACCTTTATACACCCTTTCTTCTTTACCTGCACATCCAACATCTGCACGTCTCCGGTAATCTGTCGTGTCAATACCTAAAGTGTTTTATACAAAATATTTTCTAATATAGAAAATGTCTTTTTATATTTTTTCTTTGCATTTATAATATAGTTCTACACAGAGACTTTAGGAATCACATAAAGTAGAAACATCATACAAAGAGGAAGAGAGGAGAATAATAATAAACATTACAGTCCTTCAGCGTCTTCCATCTTCAAGGTTTATACTTGATCCGTTCATATCTTCAGAATCCTTTCTTAGTCTTATTTATGTAGAAGTGTGTGTTCAAAAGTGTTTTACATATTTTTCTGTTCTACTGTTCAACATTTATCGTCTTCATTTCTCTGTTATCCCATCTACGCCAGAGACTGTCACTGTGTTTAGAATCGGATGTTCAGTTCCTCCCAGAAAACTGTGAGAGGTTCCAAACAAAAGACAAATTCTGAGAAGTGCTACACGTATTGTCATTGCAACAAAATATTTTTTTAGGCACAAGCTTGATGTTGTGTCAGCTGGTAAGAATACTGTGAGGGTCCAGAAGACTGTGTGTTCAGGCTTCTTCCGGAACGCAGCTAAGAAAGATCCTCAGGAAGGTTACAGGACTCTCGTAGACAGTCAAGTGGTCTATATTCATCCTTCCAGTGCCCTGTTCAACCGTCAGCCTGAGTGGTGAGGATGCAACAATTTTTATTCTTATTTCCATATTTATGGAAATCTGGGTTTGTTCCGCAGTTGTAGTTATCATAAGAGCAAACTTCAAATTAAATTCTTGAATGTGCACACACTTCACATTTCTAGATTCACATGTCATGTCTCTGTCCCTGTTCTTATGGTCTCATTTTCTTTGCAGTCAATACGTAGTGTGGATTATATGGACACATTTGCTCATTTTCATTGTCACTGTGACATCCATGTAGTGTCTTACTTCATTAAGCACAGGGACAACTTTACGTTTTCTGACTGATTTTACAAAATATTCTTCTATCACAGGGTAATTTACCACGAACTGGTTCAGACTACAAAGGAATACATGCGAGAAGTGACCACCATTGATCCAAAGTGGCTAGTGGAATTTGCCCCAGCCTTCTTTAAATTCTCAGATCCAACAAAGCTTAGTAAATTTAAGAAGAATCAACGTCTCGAACCACTGTACAACAAGTACGAGGAGCCAAACGCGTGGAGAATATCACGAGTTCGCAGGCGAAGGAATTAGTGTCTCAAAGAATATAATTTTTTTTTGGGCTTTATGCTGTTTAAAGTGTTGACTGACGAGTACAAACTAATTTGTACCCAGTATCAAAATCACAGTGACAAATTGTGATCCAGAAAACTGATTATAATAAACATAAGTTATTATAGACATTTTCTTGTTTGAATGTTCATTTATATCAGTGAAATGAAGCAAATTCCTAGGAGACCATTAAAAAGTTATCACATTAATCAAATACAAGGGTAACTTGATAAACATTTTTCTTCCACCCCTGCCACTGTATGCCCTTGCTTTTTGCATCTCTCAGTATTTTAGATGTCTTTATTAGGTACCTGTTTACTTTGAATAAAATATCATCTGCAGTGTTTCCTTGCCATGTATTCCTCTGTACACGAGACACGCATATATTTATTTATTCTGGATGTTCATCCACATTACAAATGTGCTTGCTATATCAAAGAAACACATTTGTTCTCATTTCCTGTTAAGTTACAGGGGAATCGTGACAGGTCAGTAAAGTGATGGGCTATGATCTGGTTAGCTGGCATGGCCACTGGAATTTTTCTCTCCACCCCCATAACCAAAATGTCCTTGGCTCCACCCAGTTTTCTGTCTTCAGTATCAACAACCCATTCACTTTCATTTTAACAAGGTGCTTAAGCACTCTTATTTTTCGTGATAAGTTTTATTCTTTTCCTCAAAATATAAATTGTAAGTGCTCCATCACATTGCACTGAAATTTGCAAAAGATGTGACACTCCGAGGTTCAGAAATATGTGATGGGTCTTTCTATAAAACATGTAAAGCCTTTTATATTCCACTGTTTTTTTTAAAATAAAGTTGGAATAAATCTTATATTTTTAAGACAGTAATGTAAATACAACTTGTTAAATAATTTTGTAATATATTTTGTGTCACTTGTATCTTAGTAGCAGTTATTGTAAAAAAAAAATATTTATCTTCTTTCCATTAACAGTTAGTCTTTTACTGCATAAAACGATTTCTAATCTGTATGTGATGGCAAAAATTAAACTATTTTTAGTCCATTTGTAAAGAATTAGAATTTTTGTATTCCTCAGAAGACATTCCATTATCTCATTGTGTGTCATTGGAAGAGTCGTAACAAACGTCTGATAGAACAGCATTACTGTCAGAAGCAATTACTGAAAACTGGGGGACTTGAATTTTGTTAGATGTACAGCCAACAACATTTCAATGTAAATTAAGTACTGTGACAAATATTTGGAGAAGACTTTATATAACGGATAATAAACACACTTTTCTTTATCAAGTTTCACAAATAACTTGATTGCCACTGTTCACAGACTATAGACCTCACCTGCTCATTGGTAAGAGGGCAAATATATTTGTTCTTACAAAATTAAAATGTGTTACAGAGATCAAGTTTGCAGTATCACAAAATTAGTACATCATTTACATACATTTACAAATCCACGACACAGATGATGAAAGAGGCTTTTAACAATTTTTTAAAGTTCCAATTGCCAGGAAAAACATTCAGTAACTGAAAAATGATAGAAAATATTACTGAAACATACTAAATTGCAAATACTTTGAGAACATGCCCATGTGAAATTGGTAATCACCTCTGCTCTAAAATCAAATTCATCTCACTTCTTTCCCCTGCACAAAGAGGTGGGAGAAATATCAGCGGTGTTTTTGTTTGTTTCTGAAGGAGTAGTGCAATTCTTGGTCTGACTTCCCTATCTTCGTCAAAGGTGTTTCTTGTTTGTCACTAGCTACGATCTTCCTCCTAGGGACATGTTGTAGTGCTTTATCCCAACTACCACTTGCTCGAATGTCCAGCAAAATACAAATCACCTGATTCAGCGTCAAAGATTTAGAACCACCACTTCCCCAAGTTAAATACCTATCCAATGGTAATTTTGCCATCTTCAGCCCTTCTCGTTTAGCTTTTGCAAGAGACAAGGGTTCATTATTTTTTTTGTCAACCATCGCTCCAATTATATAGACGGCATCATGGTCAAATTCTCTCAATTCTTCTCGGCAGTGTGGAGTAAGGTACACGATATTTTCTTTTGGGAAAAGGTCTAGGTAACTTTTCTCTGTAATATTCACTGGGAAGTCACAATCATAAAGAGTGGGGATAAACTTCACTAGATGTTTAATTGTATTACTTTCACGACTGGCATTGCATAAGTAGAGGTCAAATGGATTATCATGAGCACGGTTGTCTGAAAACATAAATGTTATTTGTTTGCCACAGTTCTGTGCTTCATGTGATGTCATATGAGAATCATAACTACAGTCTACCACAATCTTTTGACTGAACTGCATTGCCTGTATAAGTTTATTATTATAGAAATGATTAATCGTAGTATCATAAAAACGTAGAAATATTGTATTATGACCAAGTGCATATGTGAGGTGGGTATTTTCAAGAAATGTATTTCCCACAGAGTCTCTCATTTGTTTCTGTTCATCCTTCTTCTTTTTCCTGTTCTCTTGTTTCTTTTCAATTCCAAAGAGATATGCCAAATATTTTCGTCTTTGTGATCTAGTCTCCATACTAATAAGTTCCTTCCATTGGCAAAGTTTTACATTCTGCGGTATCCTAAGTCCACTCTGTCGCAGCACTTCAACTTCCAAAAACAGTATTTTTAACTTTCTTTCAAGGACAGGATCATTGTTGGTGATGCTTATGAAGTCAACATCTTCAGTACTATCTTGTTCAGTAGAGTTATCACCAACATTCTGGGACATCTGCTGCACATCAATTCCATGACTTTCTCTCTTCTGAACCAAACTTCCTGTTGGAGAGGCCACAATTCTCTTGTGGTCCAGTTTCTCCATATTATTTGTACATGCATTAAAGGATGCAATACTTCCTAAATACGTCTTCAGGGGTAACCTAAAGCAGAGTTTCAATGGTTTAAGTAAATATCTCATTTTGTTACTTTTTAGGTTGTTTTATTATGAATGTCTCTTTAATCACTCAAGACGTTTGCCAGAAAGCAAAATATAAAACATGGCAATTTTATCACTAGTTTTATAGAACTCCTGTTAATTTAAAAAATAACGTGTAACACCACTTAAATACTCGTTTTAATTTACTGCCTCACGCATCTTATCATTCAACTATTAACACAAATTACCAACATGCACCATACACAGAAACGTGATCCGAGAATACATGCCTATGTTGGTAATGCGTGACACAGATGATTAATTTACTTGGCGAACTCTGCAATTCACAAACGATTGTGTTTTTTAATCTATGGTGAGAAAAGTTATTGTGGTGTTGATGGCAGTAAGTGTTCAGTGTGAAGTTAGAAATGCTTATGTCGTTATTCTTGCACGGAAGTTTAGTTTTATTTACACTTTGGTAATATTTGCTACTGTTTTCAAAGTATTTGAAATTTGTACCTATTTTTATATTACGTGTAATGGATTGTGGGAGCATTTAAACTCGATCACTAAAGTGAATTAAAAGTGTGTGTACAGCTATTTTCAAATAAGTCACAACTCTACGAATCTGTTTTAAAACTATCTCGTGAATAGACTGTCTCAGGGGTGAATAATTAGCATTTTGCTTAAGAACGATAGGTCGGAATAAGAACCATGGAGGATATATTTCATTGGTGCAGAGAAGGAAATGCAATGCAAGTCAGAGTGTGGCTTGATGATACGGAACATGATATGAATCAAGGGTGAGTAGTAAACTACGTGATACAGCGCACACCAACATATGAATTTTAAAATGACCTATTTTTAATTTCAATTGGCGTGTTTGTCGCTGTTAATGGCTATAAATGTGCTCACAATATATGAGCCACGCCCATTTTTAGATCGTGGAGAAACTTGCTCCGATGACGTAAGTTGGCCTCTCTAGCCCACATGATTCTTGGGCTAGAGGGAATCAACAGATGTTATTTCCAAATATGGTAATGTTTATTTTTTATATCCTTTTCCCAATTTTCACTACCTGGTGCTTTGATATGGTGGCATGTATTTCGTCACATATACAAGTGTAAAATATATGACTCAAGTGTCACTCCATTTAATTTAATTATTTAATTATGAGAGTGCTACATATTGCCAACATTTGTGTACAAAATATTTGTTTATGATGAAAAACCCTGAAATATTGAGTTTGATTGTTTATTTTGAGGGATCAGATTTTTGTAATTTTGAGGACATGTGCTGTTTTTAGTGTTTTGTAAACAACGTAGCTAACTCCATGGAGTCATGGATAAGCTGATAGTTGTGCTAGTAAAGACTACCCTACCAAGGCTTCTCTGCCATGGACACAAAATCCCACCTTTGGTCCCTATGCTGAGACTACTCAAAACACTGATGTATCCAGCAACACTAATTGTTGCCACAGATGTGATGAGTGAATGATTACACCCACTGTTCTGCTATTCAGCCAACACTCAGATAAGGCCATTGGGCTCTGAATACCAACAGTATGTATATATTGAATGAACAGGTGTTTTGCTTATCACATCAATCTGTGATGTGGGAGGCAGAGACAATCTTCTAAGTTTGAAACTTGTCCTGTAGGGGCACAGCTGTTTGCTCAAGAAAACTTTATTGCAGCATTAATCAAATTTATTTTATATTTGTAATTCCTGACACATACCTCATACTTCTTTAAATCTAGATTTCTCTTCATTACAACCTGCACAAGTTTTCTGTAAACTTAGGAACCAATATATGTGTGTGTGTGTGTGTGTGGATGTTCCAGTCTCTTAAAAATCATTTTTAATTAAAATTAGTACAGTAGATATTGTGCAACAAGTTTGTTATTGTAATAATAAATAATCATTCAGATTCAGTTAATTTTTTATCAGAGATGATCATGGATTCAGCCCTCTGCACTGGTCATCCAAAGAAGGTCATATAAAGATAGTTGACCTGTTAATGCTACGTGGGGCTCGAGTCAATGCTACCAACCGTGGGGATGATACACCATTGCATCTTGCTGCAGCACATGGTCATCGGGACATTGTGCACATGGTAAGTTAGAAATGGTATTGCAGGCAATGGATATTTTGTGAAAAATACAGGGATCAGTAGACACAGTGAACAGTCAATGCATGTTGTAGACAAAATCTGGCGTAGTCTTGTTTTGTGGGATAAAGTTGAGTAATTTCAGAATGAATAGTTTTAAAGCTGTACTCTTTAAGTTTATATACAACATTTAACAGAGAATTTATTATATTTTTTAATTGTGTTATTTTATATGTACCAGTGACTGACATAGTTGCAGCGTGCTTTCCAAAAGTAAATTATGTTTTACTACAAAAATGTATTGCCCTTCAAGTTTTAATATGTTGTCTTTCTGTCTGTATATGATTTGACACAAGTACACTCAACCTTGAAATCATTTAAGGAACCCTTTCTTTAGTGGAATGTATTCTAGATGTTGGTTGATTAATGCTGGTCCACCAGTGTGAATCTTTTGTAATCAGGAACTGCCGGAAGTCCAGTGGTCGTACATCAGGCGTGTAAAACAAGTGTGGATATGCCTCAACTCCATTTTCATGGCTTAAATCTTGCTGTGGATAGTGATTAATAAGGAATCATGTTTACTGTATAAGTAAGTTTGGATCAACTTGTCATTTATTGCACAATTTTTGTCTTGAAGCTCCTTCGTAACCGAGCTGATGTGAACTTCACTAATGAACATGGCAACACACCCCTTCATTATGCTTGCTTCTGGGGATATCAAGCAGTAGCAGAAGATTTAGTGACTCACGGTGCCTTAGTCTCTCTTGCCAACAAAGATGGTGACACGCCACTAGATAAGGCGCGCGGCACGCTCGCAAAAAGGCTGCATGGTAAGTAACTTTACCATTTGACGTGTGTATTTGTCATCTCGCAAAACGGCTACATGGTAAGTAGCTTTACCATTTGACGTGTGTATTTGTCATTTCTTCAATACTGAGAGTGGTTGTTCATACTTGCCACTCAATTTAGTAGCTCCTGTTTTGAATAATGTATGTAATATTAAATTATTATCTTTGTTCTCTGTATTATTCAACTTCTTATCTAGAACTGGCAGTGGAGACTGGTCAAGATCTGAAGAAGATAACCTTTAAAGATCAAAGCTGGTTGGGATTAAAGACCAGAAGCCGTAAGTTTAATGTTTTACTCCTTTAACTTAAGTTTTTCCGTCTCCTTTTACTGTAATCACTAGTTACATTAAAACCACGTAAGATTGTTGATGATAGTTGGCAGTGTTATTAATGTTTGGTGAAAATGAATTTGGAATTGAATTTGTACCATATTAATCGCCGGACAGATTTGCAGCGAAAGTCATTTAGAGAGTCTCTCTGTCCACTGTAATGAATACTGCACATGAAGCTGAAATTGAATCACTACTCATTGGAATTTTTCCAATGCTCACACTTTGATGCTCCCATTCTATTTACAGCGCATCATTTGAATACACAGTAAATGTGGAGTAACCATAGAAATAAAAATATTAAGTGTGTATGTTTGTGGTGGTAATATAAAGGCATTCGTGTGATTCTCTTACGTTATAAATGCACAGTTACTATAAGGGGCTTGCTAAGCATAATTCAAGTTTTGTTTAACAGGTGATGCAACACTTTCTCGCCACAAAGGCATAGACTTCACAGATTTGCAACTTCATACTAAGATAGCAACATCTCCATCAGGAGATTCGTGGCGTGGCCGCTGGCAAAAGAATGACATTGTGGCAAAGATCTTGGCAGTGCGAGACTGCACGTCGCGGGTTTCTCGAGATTTCAACGAAGAATTTCCAAAGCTCAGGTTAGTTTTTTTTGTTTTATTTTTTCTTTCACTGGTTTCTGATGCGATTTAGAACATGTGTCCAGAGATCAACACCTTGAGAACACAAATCGAAATTGCGTTGTTTTAGGATTTTCTCACATCCGAATGTCTTGCCAGTGGTGGGTTGCTGCAACTCACCACCGAATCTAGTTGTTATCAACCAGTATATGGCATGGGGGTCTCTGTACACCCTGTTACATGAGGGGACTGGTGTGGTTGTAGATACTGCGCAGGCTCTGCGATTTGCTTTGGATGTTGCCCGTGGCATGGCTTTCCTGCACAGCCTGGAGCGCATCATCCCCCAGTACCATCTCAGCAGTCGGCATGTCATGGTGAGAACTACGGACCTGCTTTAAAAAGCAAAATTAATTTAACAAAATTCAACTAAACTCTTCTTTTAGTCCTTAGGCAGTATTCACGGCCTTTATAGTATTGTTGACGTCCTTGTCCAGACAAGAGATTTTTCTTTTCAAGAGTTCCTTGAACGTTTGGCTGTTCAGAGTTGGAAATGAGTTTTCTTCATTACATATCATCAGATACATTGAAGCAAAAAGAAATCCATATTTATGTTAGTTGATTTATGTTTATGGTATATTAATCTATTTTTATCGCAGATTGATGAAGATCTGACGGCTAGAATTAATATGGCAGATGCGAAGTTTTCATTTCAAGAGAAGGGCCGAGTTTATTATCCAGCATGGATGTCTCCGGAAGGTAAAGAGAAGATATCAAAAATTGTATTATATGGATACAGTTTTGTTATTAAAAATGCATTATTTATGTGTACTGTAATGATGAAAATTTAATGGTAAGATTTATGTTCTTATATTACCATCAATCTGCATGGACGCCTTTGTCATACAGGCAAGTTGAAGCAGTCTTGGTTGGTCGGTTGCTACCCAATGTCCCAAGGTATGGTCTCTGAAGACCACTCCTAGTCTGCGTCAAACCTAGACTATAAAATCTAGTTTTGAGGTGGGAGTACGCATAGCACAGTTTCAGTTGGTCCCAGTGATGGGGTGATTACAAAAATTATGGTCAGCACAGGGGGGCCCATAGTTTAATACGGAGCCTGGGCCAGTGTGGAGGACTCGTGTACCTTATTTTCACAAAGTATTTTATCTTATGCACAAAAAGGCATGCTTGGTAGTACTTTGTTTCTGTAGCCCTACAGAAGAAGCCAAGTGACCGCAACTGGGAAGCGTGTGACATGTGGAGTTTTGCCATACTGCTGTGGGAACTTGCAACGCGAGAGGTGCCATTTGCCGATTTATCACCGATGGAAGTTGGCATGAAGGTATATACATAAAATATTTCAGTAATCACGTGCAGTCTGATTTGGAAATTACTGGGCAAGGACGCCATATAAGAATTGCATTCTAAACTACTCTTTTTGATATGCATTAAACAAAGAAATATTATGAATTACATATTATCAACATTTCAGAAGAACATGTTGCCTTCATATTTAGGGTCACTGGAATGTATGTTCTGGTAATATACATTCCTCTGAAAAATTGGTAACTACCTACTAGATTGCACATTGTCACGAAACAGCAGAATAATACTGTAAGAACGTCGGATCTCGAATGGTTGACAGAATATATTTTTCATTTCTTGTTATGACTACAGAAAAGTAATGGTACTTGTTTTTAATTTTGGAAATTATAATGAAGCACTCATTGTCACTTATTGGTCAGTTGATTGTAGAAGTTGAGATACGTCTGAGTAGCTCCGAGTTTCAGTGCGTCCGAGATGCATAATAACTACGAACTACAATATTTAATGTTGAATTTACAGAAAGTAGTATTAAAATGGGTCTTTGGGAGGACATGGAATGGATTCATCTGGCAGAGGGTAGGGATTAGTGTTTTTGTGTTTATCAGAAGTAATTGTGTTATTTAAAGGTTGCACTGGAAGGTCTGCGAATAACCATCCCTCCTGGAATCTCTCCACATCTCGCCAAGCTCATTCGAATCTGCATGAACGAGGACCCTGGCAAGAGACCGACTTTTGATATGGTTATTCCGATTCTTGACAAGATGAAGCGATGAATCAAGTCTTACCAACTGTTTGCATTTAACCATCTAGCTCAGTTATGCTGAAAATCTTGCAGTAATGTTCATTGAGTTACTGGCTTCCAAAATATTGTTACTAACTTCCATTAGATTGTAATTAATTTATCTTGTGCCATTTTAAATGCCATATGCCGTAATGTGAGGTAATCAGTGATTTTTTTTCCCGCCAGCCTTTGTCTTTATATTCTAATGCCTAACATATTATACAAAGAAAAGCTTAAAATATTCTAAACATTTGCTAGTAGATCTAATGAAAGTAAATATATTTTTAGGAATTACTTTTACACTACAGAGAGAATAATAACTGCATGTTACTGTTTGTACAATGTGTGTTGTCCTCTAAACGTTGTGCCTAACTACTTTTTTTTTTTATAGAGATTATATATTATTATATAATATTGTTCATCTATATAAAACAGTTTCGCATTGTGATGTGTTAACGACTACTTTTGAAGTTGAACTAATGGCCCAGAAGATTGCACTTGAATGTACCTAAAGTGTTTTTACTTCTTCTCTCGTAACAGTCCGAAGCAGAGGTTTGTCACACTTTGTCTCATAGTCAGAAGTTTAATTTGTTTTTTTTGATCACAAACTTTTAAAATATTATAACATCTCTGTTATAATGTGACGCAGAAATCGGATGTGGAATTTTAAAACAATCATCATAGGTTTTAAAGAATCGCTTTGTGTACTTTTATGTTTTCTGTAAACAGTTTACTTCGGCATGTAAGTAAATGTAGCAGAGATTTTTATATGGGGTAGTTGGTTTCAGTGCTGAAGGGTAAAACCTTGTATGGGGTTGGAATAACATAAGTTAAAGACTAAATGCAGGAACATTAATGGAAATTTCACTACATTTTAATTTTGAACTTTGGATTGTATCAGAATTTAGAGACGTGGCAACCTTGTGTGATAACTTGAACTTGCCAGCAACATTTGCAGTGTGGAGCTCTTTGATGACGGAGATCTGTGTTTTCTGGGATAGTTTGGTCAGAATAATGTCTAGGCAAGGGACTAGTCATCTGGGGTTTGACTTTGGCCGGACAGGATATTCTCTTCTCCGCAGCGTAGAGACCGGCTCTGGGGCTTTCCCAGTCTCCCACCCATTGGATAATGGGGCTCTTTCCTCGCATTTAAAGTGGCGAGGGCATGTTGCTCGATCTGTTGCTGAGGTTAAGCTTAAGAATATGTGGAGCTGTACCTCCACTCCTGCAAACATCTGCTTAGTGTGGTACTTCAGCACCAGGGAAAACTTTACTCTTTATTATAGGAATAATTAAAAGAGATGGTACATTAAGTGTTACTATTTACTGAAATATGCCTCATGGTTTTATCATGAACTAATTTCTTTGCATCAGATCTTGATGAGTTAAGTACGAAAGTGCATAAGATGAAACATAAAACATTTTTTTTGGACCATCAAATGTAAAAAATTTATCTGGAACAAGGATCCGTCCCAGGTCTCTATGATATTGAAACATTAAATATGCCTCTAAAGAATTCAGTACCACGACTACTGAATTTAAGAGCTGGACCACTGGATATATGTGGAAAGGCTAGTTACTGAATCTCATATTGGTCTGTAGTATTTTCTGAATCTTATAGAAATAACTGTTGCTCTAATAGTACTACTTGGTTTATTTAAGATGTTTTCATTGGATTAAGATTTTGTATTTATATTGCTGTGTTGTTTTTTTTGTTTGTTCTTTGTATATCATCATGAATTCTGTAAACATTTTTATTGTTCAAGCACAATTGACGGTGTTGTCTAACACACGGAAGGAATCGTAGTTTGCGTGTGGTTTTTCTCTGGTTCTTTTCCCCCATTATGATATAAGATAACATTAATATCCCATAATTGCATGACTGAGGTTTTGAGGTTATTGTTCATTCTACACATTAACATTATTTTTTGTGCAAACTCGGCAAATTGTTTGATTTCTTCGATGATCAGCTTGGTCTAGCTTCATTGTTCTGCTAGAGCATATTTTGGGAGTCACTGATATAAAGCATGAAGGTAGGTAAACGTCTGCTGATTGTGTGAGACTGTGGACAGTCTACGTACATTTCAGCTAGCCATGCATTGCCCCAGAATTAAAGTCCAGCCAACATTCCCATAATATGAGGGTTTGTGTGCTGTATTCTTTAAAACAAAGAATGTAACGCATGGAATACACACACATTTATTCTTAATTTGGCAATAAAAAATGAGGGTGTGTGAATTATGCTTGAAATATGATAGAAATTACAGCATCATTATTGTAACCTTTGCAATGAGTTTCTCTGGCCGTGCAGTGTCAGGTTGTTCTCTCACACCCCTGATGTGAATGACTCACGTTTCATGGCTACCAACCCATGCCTGAATTTACATGACTTTATGACTAATCACAATAACATTTATTTTATGGCTTGAATCGGAGTGTTTTCTGTACTGTTGAAGATGAATTTTAAATTTTATCAGTTTTATGTATTAGTGTTTTACGAGTATTATCATCACTTTATATATTTTTATTTGTATTGTCCCATCTGCATGGGGCATTCAAACTAATGCTTTATTATTGACGTAAATATTTATACATACGAATTTGTTGCCATATTTTTGAATAGATATAGTGAGAGTATGTTCTGAGGTGAAAATCTGGTTCAGGTTCGCTTAAATTTTAGAGGTTATACAGAACCTGTAAGTATCACTGCCAAAGTAGTGTCGCAAATATTAAACCATTCTTTTCGAAACTATTACAACTCTGTAATATTTTGTCCTATAATTGTGGCTTCTATTATATTTACTTTAGTATTATTAAATTATTTTAGTCAGAAATAGGAATTTATATCCATTTTTTATTGTCGTGTACAACAGCGAAGCACAGTTTAATACATTATTTAGCACATTAGAAATTGAGTAAATTATAAGAGAATGCTTTAAAACAAATGACATCCGTGTATGTTACTTGTAAATTATAACTTTGGTGTTAACCTTTGTTATCATTTTATATGAATGTAACTGATTTTTACTACTGTGACTGAAATATTCGAATGTTGTATTTATGAGATGTAACGGCCTTTATCAGTCACATATTACAACATATTTACAACCTAACTTGTTTATTGCAGTGGCATACTGCTGAAGCATTAAACCCCAATTTAAAGCTGGCGGGCAGCCATTTGTTATGGGGGTTTTAAATCTCTTATTTCCATAGGATGAAGGTTAAATATAAATAACTCATCTTGTAAGAAGGATGTATCAAAATAAATTACTCTTAATGAGTCTCTTACCTTCAGTGCATCTGCTTGTGCCTTTATTCATGCATTTAACATCTCTGCTTGAAGTAATTTCCTCAGAGTCCTTATTCTAAGTGAGATTCTGAAGGAAATACTTTGTTTGGGGAACATGTTAAATTTACGTGGACCCTAACCAGGGGAGTGTTATATTATGAATGCATCCCAATGGTTTTAAAAGTAGAATGGCTGACGGTTTTGGAGGAAAGGGAAAGTCTGTTTCCATTTTGAGAAGAAAAAGGTTATTGGAATGTATGAACCTGTTTTGCAATAGCAGATCGAAAGAGTATTATCTTTAATAAATAGCCATGGGATTTCCATAAATTTCACTTATTTAAGAGTGGACAAATGTTGCCTGAAATCTTGAAAACTTTGAGTACCCCTGTAACAGTTGACCTACAGAAGAAAATCAATACTTAGGTACTGGAGACATATAGTTTCTCAAGTCGCCACTAGATGGCAGTAATATAGATAAATCAGCTTGTTGTTAGGCGTCATAATTCTTAAATTCTTCACTAGATGGCAGATAGATTTAGATCAGACAGCAAAAGGGATTAGGTCAAAGCTCCATTTGCAAATGTGAGTCACTCAGTTAACCAACGGGTACTTCCGTTTAAAGAAACACACCAAAGTTTGTGGTCATAATATCCGGTGACCGGTCCCCCATCCTGAGGAGCACAGTCCATTCCGCATACTTCTGCCGTATTTGTGATACACTTCAAGATCATCCGAACTATATGCCTTGGTCTACCAAGTCGTCTGTTTCCTTTCACTTTCTTGGTCCAAAAATTTTGTAAGCATTTTTTTTTAAATTTTCTCATACTTGCTTCATGTCCACGCACCTCACCTTTCTTAATTTTAACACCCCTAGTACTAATAATATTTGATGAAGGGTCAAATTATGAAACTCCTCATTTTTTCTCGAGTCCCTTGCGTATTCTGATAGGCACATTCTATTCTGAAACACCCTGAAATCCGTGTTCTTCCGCTCCTACAAGTCTGTAGCGTCACTCGAGGCAAATGCCAGGATAGTGCCTTAAATTAGGCCACGACCGCTTCCTTCCCCATCCTTTGCTATTCATGATTAACAATCATCCTCTCATTCGATGCTATGTAGTCTTAACCACTGAAAAAAATAGTCTTCAATAAACTATAAACAAATATAAATACGCGTCGCTCTTTCCAGACATGAGTTTCTCGTACGATAAACTGCAAATCATATCGTTTTGTAAAACGAGGACATAAAAAATGCTTTTAGGTTAAAAGGAACAAAATTGTCACTCAGATTATAGTGCCAGGAGCTTTTTTAACAACTTCGCTAAAAGGTAGCGAAATTACATGAATGTTTCATGCCGTAAGATCGTGTATTGGTACCATTTCGCAAAGCAGTGTATCGACAAGGGTGGAAACAAAGTTTTCACGAAACTTCGTACAAAATACCATAGAATAGCTGGAAAGAAGTGACTGGTGACGAATGCAGCCTATATTATTCGAATATCCTTTCCTGCCTCATCCCTCTTCCCCCAATTCCACGAAGTTCGCCATCAATATGAATTTAAAATTATGTACGACCTTAGACAGTATTTCAAAGCGTACAGAGAAATACTCTGGATACGAAATTTATGAACATGCTCTTAGATTCCTGAAGAGTGTTATCCAGATACCAGCACAAATATTTCCTGACTCCAAGTTCTTGGATAAACCAGCTCATAACGTAGGCACACTTCTTTATAATCTTGTGTCTTCCTATGTGGGCTATTGGAATAGAATGTGCATCATTTCCATGTTTACAGATCCTGTGAGTAATCAACACACCAAATCAGAATAAGATAAACAAATATGAACGTAAATTTTGTAGAAAGCTTCGAGTGAATTTGTCTTATTGTTGGTGTTAATAGAGCATTGGACGAAGATCGATTGTTGTTCGATTTTGTTCGAGCAGTTACTGCAGCTATCGAAGATCGATTGTTGTTCGATTCTGTTCGAGCAGTTACTGCAGCTGTCGAAGATCGATTGTTGTTCGATTCTGTTCGAGCAGTTACTGCAGCTGTGTTAATTTCGGAAAGTGTATTCTGTCTGCATTACTCGAGCGTTCGTACCAGAGATTTACTGCCAGAACTACGCGTATGATATCCCATTGTTGTGTGCCTGAATTTACAAACTGTTGGCAAGCTATTTTGGTATGCGTTTATTTCCGGTTGTTGAGTCTCCTAGTAACTAGTAAACACTTGGTGGCAGTGATAAACTATTATTCTAACTCGCCATAGACCTGGGTCCATGTAGCGCAACAGAGGAGCAACGGGTCACTGGGTATAATGCTCTTATTAGCCCCACGTTGCAACTTCGAACAAAGTTATACGGATAACCAGATTAGGAACTTAACTTATCATGCGATGTAGGTGTGAGCGAGCTTCCACTAAAATTATCTGTCACATTTTGATGTATCATAGCTATCAAATTTCACTATAACATTAATGGGACTGTAGATGTATATAAAATATGACAATAGTTTAGTATTGTTACGAAAGAATTTTATTTTAACATATTAGAACAAAATTACGTATGATGTTTCGATGTGACTGTATATGTATTAATTTATGTTATAATTACGTCCTTTTATACAGATAAAAGTAATTAATTTTATTAACATAATTATGTAATATTATAATCAGGAAAATACGAAAATATTATTTATTTTAATTTCTGCCTGTGATCCTTTACAGTTAATCTTTATTTTCGTCAGACACTGAATGACATTCTTCAGCAGATAAACGCTTGAATTAACTGCAGTTTAGGAAACCTACAAGAACTTCCAAGAAGTTACAGTACTTCGTAATTTTATTAGTGAAACCTGTGGACATGTCGCTCTGGTTATTATAACTCGGGCTTCGAATTGTTTGCCGAAGTAATTACCCTTTACATGAAGCCAGCCATCTTGTCACAAATTGGAAGTCGTAAGCATGGAAACGCTCCTATATCTAAAGATTTCCTCCTAAATCTTTAGATACGTATCGCTGTGCTGTTTTTTTTCTTATAAAGACGTCAAAAGAATTTTAAAATACCAATGCTCCATTTTGTTACCTTGGCAACGACACAAAAGGTTACAAATCTGAAAATCACACAGAAGGGTTGGTTTTCTTCCTTTAAGGCAGTTTCAGGATCTTTTCCTATAATGTTCACAGCACGGGGTTATTCATACGGAATGGCTCCAGGGTCGATATTTCAAATTCTCTTTCTTCTCTCCTTTATTGCATTATTCCTTTCCCTTTTTGCATGCAATGAATAGTTCATCCAACACAATATTTTTACAACGTTCATCACGTGACACAAGACGAACTATCCAGCCCTGAAAATGTAAGAATTGGAGATATAAACGTTACAAGTGGAGATTATTGTCAAAAAAGCTAACAGTCGCTCAGAGACCCAAGAAATTCCTCATCTTATATGGAACCATTCTGCATGTCCATGTCTGCGAAATCCAATCTACATTCTCAGACGCTAGGTCCCTAAAGACTCATTATCTGTGCGTGCTACATGTCCAGCCAATCTTAACCCCCTTCCCTCGTTAATTGATATGATCACTCTTAAAAAGTTAAGATTGTTATGTAAGCATAGAAACGTGTTTTGGTGTTGTCATGTCCGGTGTTAGTGAAGGAGCTGTGTTGCAGATTTTTAAGAGTTTTCTCCTTTTAGGAGGCAAGTTGGATGTTGGTGTGGCAAATTAATCTTTAAATCTTAAATACAGTTCAAAAATTTCTGTATTCATTTCCTTAGAAGCTCCAGCAATAATAAAGAAGGAAATCTCAGATTACACGAAATCAAGGCTGAACCTACAAATTGACTTTCTGCAATGCACATAATAGTCGACAAACACGAAATATCTTCTTGTCGACATAAACATTAAGGTCAAGTTTTATACAACCATAATTCTCTTCTCTATAAGCTATAGCCACGTGAAACTAAAACAGATTTTGACGTAAATACGTCTATATTTTAGGGTCAGTGTTATTCGACAAAAATGTGTTACGAAAAAGTGTTACGAAAAAGGGAAACGAAAAAGTGTAACTTCATTATTATGTTACTTAGGAAACCTCATCTGTTTACTCAGCATTGTTGTTACCTAGGAAACATTATATAAACTTCCTTTCCGTATAGACTTTTTTTTTATTGTTTAGAAGATGCTATTTTGTGTACATGTGACGCCTTAAAATATAAAATAAAGTAAACCACTATATCAGTTTCGACTGTGTACTCCTTTCTCATCGAGTCTTAATCGTACACGCCGAAAACGCACCCCGAGGCAACTAGCTGCCGTCCAGCGCGAGACAGAAAACTCCATTGCAGTGTGAAACTTGTGTCCGTGTGGTGTGGGTAGAAGTGAGTGTCACGTGTGTTACTGAAGTTTGTGTTACAATTAACTTCTGAATGTGGTTATAGGTTAATTTGTTGTCATCAGAAACATCAAAATATGCATTCACTTTCGAACTGAAAATTCACATCATGGTTGGATGATTATCACAAAGGCGCATCACAAAAAGTTTTCATTTCCTCGACACGGATCATTGAATTATTTTGACATTAGTACAGCGATGTGTATCTGGCCAGTAGACCAAAGCAGTTAATTAATTTTGGTATACAAGCTTATAACCCGATTGCATTTGAAGCGAATCTGTTCTATAAATAGGGTAGATTTAAAAAATAATGTGACATCTTTCCTTGTTCCTTGCGCCGAGTTTCCTTCGGCCATCTTTAACACACTAGTTTTGTTATTCGACGTTCATTATGGCGCAAGTGGAGCGGTTATGACGTCATGTGGTGGAAGGGCAGTTAGCGGGATAAATGAAAATCTTTCTTTGTTGAGTAATAGACAGGACAGGGAAGCTAATAAAAGAATTTATAACCCCCGTGTTATATGTTATGTCGAGTTTGGTTGTGTTAAACTAGTTAAAGGTAATAAACCCCGTGTTATATGTTATGTCGGGTTTGGTTGTGTTAAACTAGTTAAAGGTTATTACGTTGACGGAGGAACTTGCTAGGTATATGTGTTATTGCATTCTGAAATTGTTCCAAAAAAAATGATTTCGATTTGTGAGTTATGTGCACGACGTGGGTGAATATGGACAAGAATGGAATGTATTTCAGTCCCCCTCCTGCCACATTGAACGGTGGGTACACCACATCTTATGACAGACGCTGAATACGTGGGTGAGTGGAATTCAATTATTATTATCAGGAATTACGCATTTGTCAGATTACCTGTACAAAATGTGACTTTTATTTCGTAAATATTTTATTGTTTTTAGTGCTACCAACATTAGTTTAAGCAAATTCGACCCTTAGTTTTAAAACAAATGCAGGTTTGTAATCGATTTCGATATCAGTTTCGATTGTGTGTTTCGATTCTCATCCAGTCGTAATCATGATGTCAAAGAATTCACCACTAGATGACACTGGTGTCTGGCGCTAGTGAATAAATTACGTTTGCAGAGTTTCGTTTGTGTTGATGTGAATTTTACTTGAAATCAGGAGATTAAGTAACGCGTTTGAAAGTCTTATTTTTCAATTACTAAGTGGAAAATCGTTCTTGGTTACAGTGAAAGGACTGAGAAAACGTTACCAAAACGAATAATTTTACAATTAATTCTTGCGTTATGTAACACGAGATAAGGTTAGCTTTGGTTAGACTTCTTATTGGTAATAACGCATATAAAGTAAATAGATTCGTGGAGCAAGAACGTTATAAGTACATTTCTTTCCATATTCTGAACGTGTACAAAAAAAATATACGGTTCTGTTTGATTTTGTTGTTGTGTGGCGTCATATGGTTTCGTTGGTTGATTCACGAGCTACATAAATGAATACGGTGGAGAGATGAACCATGTTCAGACAGCAGTCTGGCCACTTTGCAAGAGAAGAATACACATCTTGTGAGACGCTGGATACTGAGATGGGTGGAATTATTTATTATCATTGTCAACTAAGTTATTTATACAAATTCTGACACAATACTGAGGAAATATTTGACGGTTTTTAGTGTCGTAAACGTTCGTACTGTGTTGTCTTTCAGCACATTGGGATGAAAGAGTGCAATGAACCTTTGTGTTTCACACGGCAGAGCGAGTTTGCGAGTGAGTGACTGAACCATAGCGTTAATTGTATTTGAAGATAAGAGGCAATAATTTTTAGTGCAAACCTCAAATTCCACGTTTGTTCGAAATCGGATTAGTCATTTCGTAGATGAAACATTCGGACGGAAATACATGCAGACGAATTGACGTGACATCCCTATAGCGCGTTCATTTTATGCGGTTATAGGGACGCGTGTGAATAAAAGTGAGTGGTATTTTAAGGCCGTGTCTCTTTGGGGTCCAAGATTTTGTTATAGGTGGCTTATTCTTGATGTGTGAAGAATTGTTTCTAGACCATATCGTACAGCCCCTCCGCTCAATAGAGCTAAGGTCACAGCAACCTGGGTTCTGTTGTTTTTATGCCAGGCGAACCCCC